GGGCAAATAGGAGTCCCTGGTGGTGCTGCAGGTTAAACTACTGAGTTGCTGAACTTGCTTACCAAAAGGCTGGCAGTTTAAATGTGAGGAGCAGGGTGAGCTCCTGCTATTAGCCCCAGCTTCTGCCAATCTAGCAGTTCAAAAACATGCAAATGTGACTTGATCAATAGGTACCTCTCTAGTGGGAAAGTGCAGTCATGCCGGCCACATGACCTTGGAGTTGTCTACGGACAACACCAGCTCATCAACTTAGAAATGGAGATGAGCACCACCCCCCCAGAGTTGAACACAACTAGACTTAATGTCAAGGGGAAACCTTTACCTTCACTTTACTATGGGCAAACACTGAAAGCAGTCCTGTACTGTTTGATAGGCTCCATGGGAATCCATCTTTGAAGTTAATAGAAATGGTGTGGGCATGGGAGTTGGGATGATGTATGATGAGGTCCTAAGAGGAAATAAAAAGAGTTTGAAGAGAACTTTTTACTTTGTTATCCTAGAGCCAGCACCATGAGAGCAATATTATGAAGAATTTCAGTGAGGTTCACTGCAGCCCATTCAATATAATCTTATATAATCATGAGGTCTTATACAATAGGTATGACAATGCAATAAAAACAGGCCATAACATATTCAATAGAGCAGGAGACATTCCTCAAGAAAGACACAATTCACTTCCTTCCCCTACACTTTTCTTCCATACAGGGAAGGATTTTGAAAGGACATGACCTTCTTCCAAGCAGACAAATCACATCTCCCAAGCCCATTCTGAAGCTCATTTCTTATTCTTTTCCATTTTCTCCCCGCCCCTCCTTTTATTTAGCTATTCTTCTCTATAAACCCTATCTGACTGTCACTTCGGAAAATTCTCTCTCGCTCCTCTCCCTTCTTTCTGCTGTTTTGGCAAAGAAGTCACACAGATTAACAGAACTGAACAGAGCTTTATGACACATTTCCTCTCATTCTTCCCTCTCCTCTTATTTATTTTTTCATTCAAGAAAAAGACAAAATACAGTCAGGCATTTTACATACCGCTATTTAAAATGACCAAAACTAAGCAGCTACACAATTCTTTTTCTCCTGAAATTCCCATTTTGCTCCATGTGACAGAGGAAGAGACATCCACCCTACTGAAACTGAATGACCTAATTCATTGAAGCATTTTTAAAACTTCATTGTGGCTTAGGGGATCTGGAAACTCAGATGAAATAACTAGAAAAGCATAGTGAATTGATAACCTGACAAAAGAATACATTGGTTTAATTCCAAGATGTGTACCAAATCTTCATTATTTCAAGGAATTGTTGCAGTTAAGACAGAAACATTTCCATGACATTCTCATTTGAATATCATAAAGATTGTTATATGACAGTCATATGATTTGTTGGGAAAGCTTGACTTGAATTCATTTCCATGTTCTTGTATAGATACGAAACAGAAACTTTGGTTTATTGATATTCCAAGCATTTAGTACACAACCTATAGGCAGCAGATGAGTGAAAGCAACAACTGAGGCAAACCATCCATTTAAAAAATGGGATAATTTCCTGACCCAGAGACAAGTAACATCATTACGCAAGCAGAGGAACCATGAGAGAGCTGCAAAAACATTTTGAAGAGAAGAAATTCACACAGCGGCATTGAAGTTATTTTCTTTTTTGAAAAGTCAGTTAATAGTGCAACTTACATAACACCATGGGTTTCTGTGCACCGCCTAAGACATGAAGTAAATGTCTAAGCTACGTAAGAGACAGAGAACCAACCCTTTATCTCTCCCTCCCAGTAGGCATTGCTAGTTGTATCCTAATTCCTGGACAGCAACTACTGATGCATTTAATTTGTATTTCCTTTCTTCTGATTTTGGGAATTTGTTTAGTTCTTATAGACCAAGATGGTGATTTCTGCTTTTATATTTTCTCTTTTTCTTTATTGGACCATGAACTCTCTTCATCCCATCTTTCTCCATGCCATAGCCATGTACCTAACTGAAGAACCTGTGTTAGAATCCAACTATTTTGACAATGTGCAGTTATTTATTTATTTATTATGTCAGAAAAAATAAGGGTACAGTTATAATGTATTTCAAAACACAAAGTTAAACTTGGCTTTATACTAAATGTCCTTTGACTAGAAGCTGGTCACTGTGAGATGGCCCCCCATTGTGCATGTGGTAGGGCTCAGACTGCATTGTAGCAAGTGGTCTGTGGTTTGCTCTTCTCTGTACTAACATATCATGGATTCCACTTTGTAGCCCAATTTCTTAAGGTTAGTTCTGCATCTGTGGTGCCAGAGTGCAATATGTTCAGCACCTTCCAAATTGCCAGTCTTCTGTGTGCCCAGGATGGATACTCTCATCTGATATCAGCCATTGATTGAGGTTCTGGGTTTTCATCTGCCACCTTTGGACTTTCACTTGCTGGAAGAATCTCTGTAAATCTTAGAAAGCTATTTCTTGACTTAAGGCATTGGCTTGCTATCTGATATCTGAACAGAGGATGGGCTGGAGATGTCAATGCCTTGGTTCTTTCATTACAGACTGCTATTTCCCAGCAGATGTCAGGTGGCATAATATCGCCAAAACGGTATGATTTCTCCAGCGGTGTAGGGCATAGATATCCTGTGATAATGTGGCATGTCTCATTAAGAGCCACATTTACTTTTTTTATGTGGTGAGATGTAATCCACACTGGGCATGCATACTAAGCAGCAGCGTAGCTAAGCACAAAGGCAGATGCCTTCACTGTGTCTGGTTGTGATCCCCAGGTTGTACCAGTCAGCTTTTGTACAATATTATTTCTGGCACCCACTTTTTGCTTGATATTCAAGCATTGCTTGTTATAAGTCAGTTAATGTGCAGTTTACAAGCTTTGATTTTGACTATATTTATTCTGTTTCTCCTTTGCTTTATCCATCAGCCTGTGATTGCATAGCTATAATACATTTTGTTCAGAATTGTTCAGCTGAACTAAAGTTTGATTTAAAAATCCTGATCAGCAATTTTACAACATAAAAACCCATTATACTAAAAATTATCTGAAGTCTTCAGACAGCTTTGGTGACAACTGAACAAAGAAAATATGAACCTTGCTATACAAAAATCAAACCTGATTTTTCTTTGTTATCTATTTTTCCAATAACTTAAATAAATCTATAAGCATCTGCTTATAGTTTTATCTGGAAAAGAAATTGGCACATATTTTCACAGTTATAATATGAAAGCTGTCATTAAGATGTTGCTAGGTTAGATTTCATAATGTTGCTGTATGTGGCATTTTGTTTAACATGGGGATTTGAAAATATTTATGTGTACTTTAAAAATACAAAATATAACATATTCTCAATGTTTCAGGTCTTACCTATTTTCAAATATATAAAAATTAAAGAGTAACTAGAGCAATTGCCTTGCCTAAGCTTTAATATTTCAAAGATAGATTTTCTGTTTCAGAATTGTTTTGTTACTGCTATAAAGTTTTGTTTTTTTAAAAAAAAATGCTACTCCAAATAGCTGAGAAACACCATCCTGGTCATCACATGGTAAATCTTTCCAGGATGTTGTTATTTTCATTTCCCATTCTTTGCCCACACAGATGCTTTTCATTTCAGGAGAAGCATTTATCATTCAAAATGGAAAGTGTTTGGTAATAATGTGAAAATTAATAGAAATGGCATGAAATGTTCCATAGCAGTGATAAATAAACTTTGCTCACATAGAACATATTCTAAGTATAGCTTTTCTAGGTGGTCATTGTAATCATATATATCCACTTGTCTGTTGGCAAGTGTTTCTTTTATAGAAAATGTTTTTGTAATTTAGGAAGCATGTGTGCATTGGATACTTATGTGTGAAAAAAAAACTCACAGATATCCCTTGAAATGTGTTGCTGACATGGAGTGTACAGCTGGACAAATTGGCATGAATCAATATGGCAAAATTATCCTTCTCTTTGAGACAATACAACTGGCATTCTAACCAAAATCCATGAAAGACACCTGCTGCCATTGGCAGCCACTTTTGCAACCCGAAACAAGGCTGAATTAAACAACAGCCTCAAAACATGAAATTGGGCATTAGGAAGAATTCATTTGAATATTATTTACATAAGTCAACAAGTGAACCATCTTCCAGGAATAGAATAAATTTCTGTAGTGTGAATTTTTAGCCTTTAAACAGGTTGTTGCTTACTGCAGACCTCTCAGAATATTCTACTCCCTTCTAGACATAACTACATTCTCGACTCTTGCACTTTACTATTGTCCCTGCTGTACTGTACTCATCTGACTTGGCCCTCCAGCCTTAACTTATAATCCACCTCTCACACTTTGCCGTCACCCCTGCCCTGACAGTTGTATTACACAAGCCTTTCTCTCACCCATTAGCTCGGAGATGTCCATTATGCTTGGCTACTGTTTGTTGTATGAGGAATAATGTTTTTAATTATGTTTATTGTGTTATATTTTAACTCTGTCTGATTGGGCTTGGTGCCCATGTAAGCCACCATGAGTCTCTTAGGGGAGATGGTGGTGGGATATAAAAATAAAGTTGTTGTTGTTGTTGTTGTTGTTGTTGTTACATCACATGGAAGAGAGAAACAGAGCTTATATCTTTAGAAATTTTTTTACATTTTCCATTAATTCTTAGTTGACTTCTCTGATCAGTTACATGTGGAAGTGAAAACAATGGTCTCCTTTGACACAGGCAGATGATTTCCACTGAAATATTTAAATTGTTGGAGAGGTGGGATCTGCACCTCCTCCCGTCAAAACACAAACATTTATTTCTGTATGTACAAGTGGGTCTGCTTATTCTCTGCTAAACTAAAAGATTTTTTTCTGGTTTTATCAGTTTTTAGGAAATGTGATGAAAATTAACAAAATAACAAAAAAAATAAGCTTTTTTTCTTCAAATACCAGTTCTTTCCTTTAAAACAGCCCAATTATTTCTATACATTCTGAGTTCTTGACCAACTAGATCCATAACTTCTATTGTTTCCTTTTTACAGGAGCTATGCCTGTGCCAGACCAACCATCGTGCTCTGACAAGACAAGTTCCCTTAGCCCCGTGCTGACTACATCCAATGGAGATGGATCTGAAACAGAGACCACGTCGGCAATTCTCGCCTCAGTCAAAGAACAAGTAAGCAAACTCAAGAAATTCCAAACATTTTGTAGCTGTGCTGAGGAACTCAGCCTAATAATGTAAAATACATTTCAAAACTGTTCATTTCCTTAGCATATCATTTCAGTTTCTAACTGAAATATTAATTGAAATACATAGTTTTTCTTTCTTTGAGTTAATCTTGGTACATTTTTGGCCTCAGATCATTTTGGTCTCTTCATTTATTTTTGGATTTTGGAAATTGGAATGTATGTGCCAGTTAAAATGTGTGTTTTCACTTATGAATTTTGAGTTGGAAACCCTTAAGTGTACAAAAAATTCTTTAGATTTGTTTTACTTGACTTGCATTTTTTTAATAATTGGACTTATGTCTTCTGTATAATTATAGCAAATTTAGAATGCAAAGCATGTTTCATTATTTAAGAGAAATAGAAGAGGGTAATTTTTTTTGTCTTGGTGAGCTCTCTTAATACTACTCTTTGACATATATCTTTGACCTAATATTCATTGAAATGAGGCTGTTCTTGAAGTGGGAGAGTTCTGAAGTTCATAAGTAATAATAATAGTAATAATAATTTTACTTCTTACCCACCTCTCCTCATGGCTCGAGGCGGGTTACAGAAAGAGGCAGAATAAGTACTTTGTGCTTAAATAGATGCCTCAATTCCTTTTTATGTTGTGTCTCATTTCCACATTTCACTCTGTACTTTCTAATGTCTTGCTCCATATTATGGATTTTATGACTGAAAAATACATTTGTGCTTCCAGTGGAGAGCTCTGAGTGTTGTCCTCATCTAGAAAGCATTGGTTTACACCCCTATGCAGAGCTATATCAAACCTCGATTTGGGTTACATGTGCAAAATTATGCAAGATATTGCAGCAATTACAAAAATATCTTCAGTATGAAAGGTCTCACATGCATGCAAGTTGATTATCTTTGAGAGACTAGTCTGTTGTTGTGCTAGTTCATACAGTACAGCTAAAACTGAAACACATTTTAAATACCATTGATTTTACTGAGGAAGTTAATCAAATGCTTAAGTCTCTTTAACTGAAATTAATGAGAGACCATTCTGGTAGAAGCTTTCTACATAACTTGGACCTAATCCAGACAGTGTTATTTTAAGAAACAGATTTGCTTTGCAAAAAAGAAATTTGGAAGTAAGCAAGCAAAGTGGGCATGTTTTAAAAGCTTGCTTTCTAGTCATATTTAATGTGGTAGCCATGTGGCAATGGCACGGAGGGTGTCTCTGTATGCACGTGCTGCTAGCCTGCTGTGTTGTTTTTGGAAATCACTTGACCTCTTGGCTCTGTTTCTCTATGTTTTAAGTTCCCTGAGAATCCATATGCAAAGTAGCTTTATCTGTCATTCCAGATTCCTTTGCTGGCATCTTTCACAGTAGGAGGCAAGAGTCTTTCTGTATGCCAGAAAAACATTGCTTATGGAAGTCAGGTTTCAGGGAGAATTTGTGTATTCCTCTTGACACCAGTGTCTTGGATTGTCCTTGAAAAGTTTACAATTTTTTTTCTCTCTCTCTCTTCCTACCTCCCCCCCATTTAACAAAATTTGAGTTCAATAATTCTGTTTCTGAGTCCTTAATGTATGTATTTCATTATGGATGAATGTATTTACAGTGTATTTTCTTACTGATTCCGATGACTCATTAATAGCCATCAATCCTGAAAAACTGAAAAGCTAGTTGTTATTGCTGCTGAAAAACGTAAAGAAAGTAATTGTAAGCATGTTTGATGTGAAGCAGGGTGAAGTACAAATGAAAAACAAGTCAAATGTTCATTGTACATGCCTAATACACTATTGTTCCATCTATAGACATTCAAAAAGGCAGTTTTTTACTGGACACAGTATTAAAAAAAGCTTGTTGTAGTGTCAGGACTGTAAATATGAAATATGTAAACTTCTGATTTGAGACACAGACTCTTATATTGACAGTTTCATCAAGTAGGAGTTTTGTACTGTGTAGAAAAGGGTTTTTTTCTGGCCACAAATATTTATTTAATCATTCCACCAAGGCAGCTCAGGGAGTCCCTATCAATCTGGCTAGTGAGCTTGATCTGGGATGCCGGATTGAGCCCACTTTTTTATTTGTGTAGAACCACTCTAGGTAATTTGTCCTCATGTTCCAGGTGATATCTATAACTAAGAGAGAATTTGGAGAATTTTACCATGATACTCCTGTATGATTATCACATCTTTAAATGAAATATGCATTGGACAGCACCCCAAGAAGCAGATATTGTCTTGTAACAGGCCTACAGAGTATTATCTTCTGGCCACACTTTCTATAAAACATGTTCAAGAGTCAGGGTTTTTCACAGCAGCAAACAAGTGTGTCCCATAGAAATAAATGAGATTTATTTTGGGGTAAACATATATTATTTATTTATCTGATTAACTTAATATCACACCTTTCTCATGGGATAGGACATACAAGAGTTGGCCTTAGTTGATGTTTGTCTTATACATATGCTACTTATTTCTGGTTTTTATTCCTATACCTGCTTCCCCAGCAGTAATCTTACTCAGGGCTTTTCCAGAGAAACCCTATATCCCAGGATCTGATCCCAGGTTTTCTGTTTATCCCAAATTTTCTGGAAATACAGATTTATATAATCCAGTTTAAAGCAGAAAACCTGGGATCAGATCCTGGGATACAGGGTCTGTCTGGAAAGGCCCTAAGAGTTTACTGCCAAAGGAACACTATTGTAACAGTTGGGATTACATTTCAAGATAAAGAAATGTTTTCAGATTCACTTAGAAATGCCACTCATTGTTTACTAGTTAACCTAGGGAGATTGAAAATGTGTTTTGGAAGGCGACCACATTTTTTCTATACCTTCTACTTTGAGTGCAGGGAGACCTAAACAAGATTTCACTAATTACACAAAGTTTGGTTCTATCTCCTTTTCTCCCCACAATATTCAGAAATATTTTGCTACTAAGAGGCAATGTTGCTCCTTTTTAGCCAAAATTGCTTGTCATGAGCTATGTCAGTCAAAATGAGCATATCCAATTTTCACCCTTCTTCCAATCATCAGAATGTTTCTGTCCTCTGTCTTATTTCTTCTCTTTCTATGGCCATGCTTTTTTTTACTTTGCTTTTTAAAACCTCTGTCTAAAACTTCAGCATTAAAGTGGTAGGCACTACTACCACCGCCATCACCACTACTACTACTACTAATAATAATAATAATAATACACTTTATTTATATTCTGTTCTATCTCCCCAAGGGGACTCAGAGCAGATTACAACATACATAGATAGGCACATATTCAATTTCTTTAATACAGTGAAATGACAATGACACACAAATACACAGAACAAAGGTTTCCCCTTTCATCTAAAACTTCTGGAGCTTCTGGCCATGAGGAGGTGGTCTTTTTACATTTTCCAAGCCGAAGAGCTTGTTGTCCATAGAAACCTCCTGGTCACATTGCCGGCATGGCTGCATGGGCACCTTTATTATCTTCCCGCCAAAACAGTACCTATTGATCTACTCACATTTGCATGTTTTCAAACTGCTAGGTTGTCAGGAGCTAGGGCTAACAACTGGAGATCACCCCGACCTGTGGCTTCGAACCGCCAACCTTCAGGCCAGCAGTTCAGCAGCACAAGAGTTTAAACTATTGCACCAACAAAGGCCCCTAAGCTATATTTTTGTATTCAGCAGAAAAAATAATCTCCCCACCCCACTAGTTTTATCTTGTGCTGGTGGTGCCCCTAGGAATGAAAAATATGCACCACTTGAAAAGAAAGGATAAGCTTTTTTTTTCACTTGAGTTCAAAGGAAAGAGAAATGCAGCCTAAACATTCTTTAGTTTTTCACACATAGTTATAAGCTTATACAATTTGAGGGTGATGGGGAGAGAAAGAGGCACCATTGAACCCAATTAAAGTTGAAATGGTCTTCCTATGTATATCAGTAGTGTTATACATAGGTTACCTTTTTAGTGCTAAAATTTTGGGGAAAAAAATTAAAAAATAAAAATCAAAAGACAACAACATTATTGGAATATCCTGTTTTAACAGTAAGAATTTGGAGAAGATTTTTTAAAAAATGAATTTGCCTGGATTGGAGATGTTGGAACAGAAGAATAAAGCTGTTGCTAGCAATAAAGGTTTGTTTCCTTCCCATCCAATTCTTCATACCCTGATCCCATTACTGCCACTTTATTTATTTTTTTAAAGAAATAGTGTTTAGATGAAGTAGAAGAAAAATGCAGCAGGAAGAGCCTTGTGGGACAAATAGGATGGTAAGCCCTTAGTTGATGCAAGAATGCATCCCTCACATTCAACTAGACACTTGAAGACTGTGGGCCCTTCTTCACTGCCATATAAAATTCAGATTATCTGCTTTGAACGGGATTATATGGCAGTGTAGACTCATATAATCCAGTTCAAAGCAGACAATGTGGATTATCTGCTTTGATTATCTGGATTATATGGCAATGTAGAAGGGGCCTATGTGTGCTTCATCTGAAGCAACTCCTCTTGCATTGAGCGACAGTTACTTCCACATAAAGATACATATGATCAGGCTGCTACTAATTCTCAAGCAGTAGGTTAATGTGTGGTGCTCTTTGACCAGTCTCTTCCTATTTGTTAAGTTTACATATTTTGTGGGTTCTTTCAAAATGTGTACTTGACTTAAAAGTCTTGTGATTGTTCGGTGGCAATTTGATTATTTTTAATAGAAAATTAAGATGTTCAAAAATTAATGTTGATGTGTGTTGATATAATTTTATGTACAACGTAGATACAGGGGCTGAAATAAAGATTTTATCTCTTTAATTCTACCAACTTATTATGAAACATTTTAATGTCAGAATGGGTAAAAGTCTTCTGAAAAATGTGTTCTGTTGTCTGATCTGTTTCTGCATAAATGAGATAATCAAAGGACCCTTGATAACCCAGAATATCAAGGCAGAAAATCCCACAATATCTGCTTTGAACTGGGTTATCTGAGTCCACACTGCCATATATTCCAGTTCAATGTG